AACGTTCGAGGTCAAACGGGCTGAGGGTTGACGTCCGAGACCTGCACGAACGTGTACGAATCCGTCGAAGCTTCTGGAAGGCTTTCCGGGATGGGGGGCAAGGGGCTGTCTCAAAACGTCGAGCGAGAGGACCGCCGGCTCTGGGAGCGAACCTTCCCGACTTAGCATGGACACGAACCGTCGAAGCTTCCAGAATGTTCTAGAAGGTTCTAGAATGTTCTAGAAGGTTCTCGATCGTGCGTAATTCCCGGAATCGAGCGCAAAATTCCCGGAATGTGACGCAAAATTCCCGGAATCGAGCAAAAATTCTTGGAATCGAGGGGTCTTGGTGACGTCACTTCCGGAAATCGTAGAGCTCACGACGGCGACTTAGCACGGACACCCACCTTCGAAGGTTCTGGAGTGTCGGTATATGTCGGTTACAGGTCTCCTGGTCCAGAACTCCCAAACTTATACTACTAAGAAATGAGTTCCAAAGTATTGAGTGTAAACGTGTTATTTTGTGCTTTCCCATAATGCTGCCGTGGACCGGTGTTAAATCACATGAGAGGGGTGACGTTGTGCATCCCGTGATGTGGTCAGGCACATAGTGGTCCTTCGAGCCGGATTTGAACCATCCTCCAGATACATTTTGTCCGATCAAAAAAATCGATTTTCGATTTTTTGCATGTCCATGTAGCTTATAGTCTTTAAAATATTCTCTCTAAATATTATTAAGAACTTCGCAAAATTGGCGGAGTTACAGAGGCTTGAATGGACGAGTGCGCGGCAAGTATAATATTATGATCCGAGCGCGTCCCGCCCGGCGATGCTTCAGAGCGCGCTAGGAGATTACGCTTGGGTGTGCAGCTGCTAATCCGAGAATTTCGTATACAAGAAACCCCCTTATATTCTTCATCCTTTGTTCAGCTTATTCGAATTTGCAACTGGCGTTTCATACGTTAGTATTGCTTAGACTTTCGAAGTAAGCGTATTTGAGTCACGAGTAAAAATGCAGTAGTTGTTGAGTTGGACGATGGACAAAAAAATGCAGCCAAGATAATCGTGTACGACCGGACTGTCATAGGAAAAGGAAGTTCCGGGGGAATGAAACAACAGACGAAACCGATTCGATTTTCAAGTCGTCTTCAGCCCAAAAATTACGGATTGTCCAGGATGATGAAGTTCCGCGGGATGGGGATAGTAGCTATGTGATTTTCAATTTCTTTATGGTATTCATAGCAGTGAGTGGAGTAGAATCAAATTCGTGGATTTGTCTCCGAAAATCGGCCGAGCGTCCGAAATCAATCGTCGGTTCACTTTTGTTTCTAGACTTCTACCGCTCTCAAGAGCTGGAATGAATTTGTTTTATGGCCTCATGGACATTAGTAAAGGGTTTCCAATGAGACTGTATGCCAGGTGCCTCGAGGATGTACATTGTGACGTGGTAAATTTTACCCCGTTAGGTCCTCAACTGGAACTGTAGTGATACGCGGGAAAATGCAAAATTACTAAAGAATCCAGGCAAGATCCCACCACCTCAAGGGCCAACACTGTTACAAATTTGCTGTTTCTGATTCTGTTGTTTTATTTTTGGTACGTCTCATGCCGCAAATACTGTATTCGGGGACTTACCGAATCTTGAAAAGAACCAGCGAGGGCTCATCGACGTGGGAGGAACGAGGACGAAAGGCTAAGGGACGTCAGGGCATCAGCTGGCCCTAGCTGCGCGCGCTGTCGCTCACTGCACCAATCACCTTGCGAATAGGATCAACTCTACGCATGATATCACCCAAACTACATGAACTGGTCTACGCGTACCGAGTAACTAGCAGGGAGCTAGTACTCATCCTGCGTGACAGTGACCTACGAACTATGGAGCACCTGCAACGCACCACAACCCGTGAAGGAAGCCTATCGCTATCGACACCAGGAACGAAGACTCGCGAACTGGGAATCCGGGGACGCCTGGTGAAACGTTGCGAATTCCTACGGGACGTAGGAGCCCATCACAGGACAGCCTATTATCGCTGTTCCTGAAATGTATGAATTGTCGCGAAGACACACTTTAAACATTGGCGCGTGGTGCCATATTGGGGATTTTTGATTGGGACCGAAGGACCAATTAGAAGTGGTCGCGGATAAGGGAAAGGATGATAGTCTCCAATGCTGCCGATTATGATTGAAAGAGAAGACTTATTTCCTTCTTCTTGTCTGGACTGTCCACGACGCGAGTCGTATTTTTGAGCCGTTTCGGTTTTTCGGGGGGTTAAAGCCTGAGGAGAATCAGGACGTTGTCCGGGGCCACGTTAACGAGCTAATTTTCCGGAATGAAGAGACTTAGAGATTTCGGTAAACGATTGTTGTTTTGTGAGCGACGAAATCTCTTAATACCCCGCGTTTTGTATGTATCTGGATGGTTCCGTGGGAACGTAGGAGAAGTTCCAACAAGTAGAATCGTGTTCATTTAGGATACAAGATTCCGACGACCGGCAAGGGACAGTATTCGCGTAAATGTGTTGCCCATCATGGATATATTTTGTAACGTGGCGTCAGGACGACACATTACAAAAGCCCCGCACCTTCGCGCGCTGCCGACAGCAAGGCAGTGCCTCCGGCGTCCATCTCCAAAGAGTTCGTAGATCCGTGGTTCGGGAGGAGAAATCGGGGGAAAGTAGTGGACTGGCGGCGGAGGCACGTGGCCCTTTTGGGTTGAGAGCCCGCATGCAAGGGGTGCTCAACCGCCAGGACGCACTGCCGGTACCCCGGGAACTTTGAACGGCTACAGTTTGCGGGTCCGCGGGGAGGGCGCCGAAGAGGAGATTTGTTTTGATTTTTGACCTACCGCGAAGAGCGGTAGGTAGGATAAAGAGAGTGTGTCGTGGGGAGTCCGCGTGTAAGGACACGGGTGTCCGGCGGACCGCGAGAAAATGAGTCCTTCTTCCGTGCTCGGGCGATAGCGGAGTTATCAGATAATCGCGGATTGCGATTATCGGGACCTCTCGCAGAGAACCATGGCTCCCGAGTTTTTTTGGTATGGTCTAGTGCCAGTGCGTGGCCGAGTGTGTGAAATTCCGAGTGTTTGATGGACATCCTCGTGGAGCCGGGATGCGGCACCACGGGGATAGGCGGAAGGGACACGGCCACCACGATTTGGATTTGGTACGGGACTGATGGGACAGTCAGTTCTCGGTAAGTACCGCGAGGGCGGTCTTATTTAGAGAATATCTTGCGCGAGAAGATAGCCGAGCGGGAGTGGTGCGGACACACCTCAGGTGGCTACCGACGTCAGAGGGCACACTCCCGAGGAAGGAAAGGCTCGTCTCCAACGATACCTGTTAGGATCGCGAATCGCGCCGCGAGGGGATTCGCGGATTCGGTAGGGACACCGAGACAGGGACAGGTCTGGGGCAGGCTAGAAATCACGACTCGGAATAGTCGTAAGCCGCCGTTGGAGAACACACTGTACGCGACGGGATTTGTATTGTAAAGTCCGCGGTTTATTTCATGGTAATAAACGGAACGGTATCCTACTCGCTATCTTATCATTTTGAGCGCCTATCCGCTGACTCCGAAATTCTCTCTCGTCGCCCCCATGTTCCTCCCTACCATTTTCAGTGCGCTGAGGCTGAGATTCCAGGAAACCTGAAAACGGCCGTGGTGAGGGATGGTGGTGCGGGAAAGCCGTACCTGGCGCCCAACAATTAGATCTTCGGATCTTTTCTTCGATTACAGCACGTTGGGAGCAGCCACGGATTATTTGTAGGCGACGCCGATGAACGGTACACGTCACAATTTATTCGCGTTATTGTGAACTGATTTGAGTATGACTGTGTTCGTATGATTGGTTTCCTCGGCAATGGTTGAGTGTTTAATCTCCGAAATACGTTGTATCGCGTTCAAGTTAGGAACGTGTTGCCGAGAGACACGAAAAGGTCCTTGAGGTCGTGTTTTGAATATATCGCGATTAGATCACGTTATATTGTAGAATCGTCTCATGTATTGAGATTGTATGTTATTGAAAATTGTATTAAATTGTGCGAAAGTATTTATAAAAGTTTGAAATATCGAAATTGTATCGAATCTTTCGGGGTCCAAAAAGCACGGAATGCTGAAAGAGAGGCTAGTAGTGCTTAATACGATTTCTACTTGGAGGAAGAAGAACCCCAATATGGCGCCGGAATAACCGATTGAGCTTAAGTGACTGAAATCAATGATTATTTCTATCGATTCGTACCGAAACTTTAAATGCGTTTTTCTCTAAACCAGATTTTTCACACTTGTACCCACGATATCTCAGGAACTACTGAACCGATTCATCTAAAATTTTCGCAAAGTGTTTAGAATATACCTCGCTGTAGCCCCTACTGCGAAGAATAGTCTACATAAAAAATTACGATCTGTACAACTTTAAGAAGAGTGAAAAAAATTGCCAATTTCAAAAAAATTCAATATCGTTTCGCCATCTTGTCATTTTTCAATTTTTCAATGCGACCGCAGTACCGGCTATAAAGGGTCATCTGACAAACCAGAATATACATGAATTTTTTGTTTGAGATTAGTCAAAAGGGCGCAATCGTAAGTACCGATGAAATACAGCCTCTTGCGATCCAGCGCGGTGAGTGAGTACGACGCAATGAAATGTCTTTGAAAAATTTGTAAGAACAGATAAAATATCATTAAATATGTATGCAAAAGGACTTTTCAATAGGTCTTAAGATTTCGGGATAAAAAATTCATGAACATTCATTGAAAAAATTCTAGTAAAATGTATCTCCCCCCCCCCCCTTAAGGTAGTTCTGACGCTACCAGTCCTGATGAAAAATGGTTTAAATTGTTGTGATTCATCTGCGTGATAAAAGCTTTTAGTATAGACTGTAATTACTGCCAATCGATAGAATTGAAACTGAACTAACTAATCAGATTGGTTTATTCCGCTCAAACATCATTTTTGATTGGTTAGATCAGTCTTTTCAATCCTGCATGGTAGAAACATAGCTAAAATATGGTCAAAAGTGTCAGCTAATTTTTACTTCATATAGGCCTCATCGTGTATAAAAAACTAATTTGTAAGATTATCTCATGTTCTAATCAGTCAAAAACTTTAAAAACAATATGTTCGTATGCATGACATATTCAATAATGAGCAGTAAAAATTGAACAATTTCCTAAGAAAACAGTACAGTCACATACCGACCTTTAAAAAACTCTCAAACATAAGACTGGTAACTGCATTGTAGCTATAATTTACTCAATTACAAAAGTCTATGTCACCAAATTGATAGAACACCGTTGCTTGGTAAGACAGTGTTAAAAATAGCAGATTACATATACATACGACTTGTCGAATAACTATAATTGTATTTAAAGTAGTATCTTACGGCCAGTGTGATGGAGAAGTGATATGGAATGCAGTCTGAAGCACAGGAGTAATATATGAAATACGTCTCTCTATTTTTCCACATGGGACCTTGCAGCGGTCTGCCATCTAGAACATTCCACTTTTGCAAATGGACATCCTTATATGGTGATAAAATTATTCCAATATGATCTGGACCTGAAAGTTCATACTAAAGAATAAATTCATTCAATAATATTAGAGATGTTCAAAAGCGAAGAATTTTTAATTTGCATACGAAACTATACACGGTCCACGAGTTCGAAGTGTTTTTTTTTTTAACAAATCAATAACAATAAAGACTAGAAGGAAGGCCTCTGCATGTCACTCCATAAAATGTATTACAAAGGATATACAGAGTGTCCAAAAATTACCTGACCAACGGGGTTATGGCGGTGTTCGGGAGGCACCACTGATCACGAAAATGACCTTCCTTTTGTCCGGAAGGTCGTAGTTTTTAAATGGGAGCAAGTCAAAGTTGACCAATCATAGCGAGGCGTCACGAGAAACGTAGGTACTTACGAACTCTGAGTTTTCTTCCCTCGCTTTTGTTTCTCGGTGGCTTCGGGCAGGATGACGTCAGCCGAAGGCATGCCTATTGGAAGCAAGAAACAAGAAACAAGCCACCGAGAAACAAAAGCGAGGGAAGAAAACTCAGAGTTCGTAGGTGCCTACGTTTCTCTTAACGCCTCCCTCTGATTGGTCAACTTTGACCTGCTCCCATTTAAAAACTATGACCTTCCGGACAAAAGGCAAGTCATTTTCGTGATCAGTGGTGCCTCCCGAACACCGCCATACCCCGTTGATCAGGTAATTTTGGGACACCCTGTATATGGATGGTTTTGCAATAAATGTATTTCGTTTTTCCGTTTTGTACATATTCTTACGCTATTTTATAGAAAACAACGTGTGATTTACTAGGGATTTCAATTGCTTGCGAATTTTCAAAAAACATATCGAACTCGTGGACTGACTATATTTACCTGTCACACTAAATGCGAAAGTTATAGTATCCCCTCGTAATTCTTTCGATATTAATTCAAGATTTGTGGGTATCCTTATCAAAGGTGCAGGTCCAGGAATCCAACTGGTTTTCCTATAATAAATATGTTTGATTAACCCAACAGTTAGAACAAATAGAATAATCATCCGTCTGGTGAAAAAATAAAAATATAGAATTAAAGATTTACCAGAGAAACGTAGTAACAGGCATCAAATATGGTAGGCCGCAATATAGCTCTTCTTCGCAATCCTTAATAGTATGCGCAGCGATACTCACTTCTGGAACCGTATTCGCCACACTGCGTGGACTATTCATGTCTAGATCAACTATCCAATATCCATTTCCAGAATGCCGCACAGATCCATTTACATAATAATATGTTCTCTGAGTGTGCTAAGGACATATCATTTTTTTTAAATACATTTTTATATCATAAGTGGTATGATACGTGAATAAACACAAACTTTTTTCATAATGGAAAAGAAAAGTTATTCTTGCAATTTAATTTAAGGCATTGTTGCATTCCAAATAATAGAATTGAATGGATTTCACAAACACAATCTCGATTTAATCCTTGAAACGATGCTCTGGATTCGCCTATAGACAGCGTGGGATAAAAAAGTAAAGTTGTCAAGGAATCCCCTAGACCTCAGTGTCCCGTTTACGAAAGTTTTTCTCGCGGTAAATAATTTTCTTTCTATATTTATATATTTTGTTATTATTATACTTCGCATTGTAATTATGGTCGAATTAAGTCATATAAATATGGCATGAAATTTATGATACTGAACTATGCTAAGATAACATATGTGTTTAATGAAAATAAATATATTCGTGAGGCACAAACAAAACACATAGAACCTATTCCATCACAGTATAAACGGATATTATCCGAACCTATTCATGGTTTGAATCGCAAAATAACATGTTACAACTTGATTATACGTATGCCATTAGTAGAAACCATACTGACCGAGTACTTCCTGACCATGGACCATCATGGATACTATTCGAAAAAGTAATAGAAAGATAGCAACAACATTCTTCAACATGCCTGAACGTATAGATACGTATAGATAATGTTTGCATACGCCAAGAACAAGACCCTAGTATCGAAGACAGCGAAAAAGAATAAAGTCTTTTCTAAACTCTTGTCACTGATTCGGGATGAATCTGATGAATAACTAATGAATCGGACATTATAATGATGTACATGCAACAAAATCAAATACATTTGATCAATTGTGCTATATGTTTATTACGGCATGGAAAACTAATCGCTGGCCGATGTGAATGTCATTTGCTATGTTAGGCCAATGTGGTATCAATTACATGATTGTATGTATATACAATGATGGCAAACAAAACAGCAATGAATAGAAGTATTTTGAATACACTAGCAATGACATAAATCGAACCTAGTCCCAAAGAGCGAATAAAAATACCAGCATTGAGGCAAAACCTAAAAATGTAGAAATTACCACATCTTCAACACGTGACTACCAGATAAACGAAATCCGACTGCACATCGTGGCACAACACCATTTGTAAAAATCATCGCTTAACGTTGTGCTTGTCATGCCCCGCCATTAAGTAACTGTAATTTCTTTCTATTATTTTGTTCTCCACATCATATATTATTATGCAACAATCCATAATTTTATACTAAACAACATGCAAAATATACGTAGAAATTGAAACTCTCTTTCCATCCATAATGCCAACCTTCAAAATTGCTCATATTCATCTCTCTAATCAAACTAACTTTTTCCACTAACAATAAGTACTTTTTTTTTGTCGTATGGACCTTTGGCTTTAAAAAGCTACTTGGTTCTTGGATTTCGTTAAAAATAAAAAATGAAAAAGACTGAATCTAGTGCATTTCCCTCTTTGTGTGTGTGCGTGTGTGTGTAATGGCCTCGCAAAATTCAAATGTGTATAACTCAAGAACGGTTTTAGCTACAGCTCCCACATTTTAAATGTGCAGACCTATAATCCCCGGATTTTATGTCGTTTTCAAATTTCCCGAAAAAAAAGACGTTATAACTCTAGCGATCGCAAATTTTGTGATACTCGTCTAAATAGTTCTTGTAGAAAAGATTTGTTCAAATTTTTAATTAAATAAATTAAATTAAATTTGAAAAATCAAATTTATCAATATAACTCCCGTCAACTTTGACCAAACGAGCTGCAACTTTCCAAGTAAATGAAGATTCATCTATGAGGAAGCCAAAAATTTAAAAAGAATAAGAATGGTTCTTCATATATAGAGACTTCGTACACTACCTACGATTCGGAGGAAACAAATTGCAAATTTCAACTTGCAGCTTTTTTTCAAGCAAGCAGTACAATATAAAAGACATGCGCTCCATTGGACTCCAGAGTGCCATTTATGTATCAAAAAAATGTGTGTACTTGTCCATGGCTAATAAAAATATTTTCCAACATTTTAAAGTAACAATTAACATATTTACCGCAATCATAAAACGAGCTGGAGCTGGTGACTGCGGATCTCCACTGTATGGAAAACTAAGGGGAGTGAGTATCAAAACGCCCATAGCTATTAAAAATATTCCTATCCACACACTGATCACTCTTTCAACATTTTTTATCAAAAGGACCACAGGCAGCTGAAATTATAATTACATATTCAGTTCATATAAAGATATAATCCTGAGATAATTTGATATAAACACTAATATTAATTATTAGGTGTTTATAAAATAGCGTTATTTAAAGCAAACTCAAACATATCGAGGAAGTTATAAACTTGAGTGTAGTTTCACACAAATAATATCACGCCTATTATTTAATAAAATCGTTCCAAGTAAAATTAAAAAACTAAATTTTCAGTAACTGTATATCATTATTTTCGTATTTAGTTTATGAAAGGCCTACATGTCACTGTTATATTAATGTATCTTAATAGCCAAAAATTATTGGATAAAAGTTGTGTATTCAAATTATGCTTCATCTTTTCCACAAAAATGAAACCAGCAAAGACATTTGGTACATTTACATAACTTTCATATAGCGGCTATAATAATAACGACATAGAATTTATATGCAATCATCAGAACACTATGTATACAATGTTTTAGACCTATGACACCAACTTTTACACTGAAACTCGTCCGTACATTTGATTTTTACGGCATATCCAAATTCAATTATGCAATTGTTCCAAATAACTTTGTACGTATACAAGTATAAGAGCTTACAAAATTTCACCTTCTTTATTTAGCATATTTTCAAAGCATTCTTATCTATAGAAAATCCACTTCCGAAATGAGAAAGCATTATATCAAAAACTTATTACAATGAAAACAATTGGAAAAGGAACAAAATACTTAATTCCTTTACACTGCTACTTTTGTATATTTAAAAATGAAATTTCGAAGTGTGATTCAATTTAAATCAGAAGTGAAATTGTAAGGTTCTTATTGCTAAACACTTGAATTAGTTCTCATTTAACTATAATCAGACATAGAAAATTGCAATTTTTTGAAGTTGAACAAGAGCAGAATAATGCTTTACCGTAAAACTGAGTAGGAGACAAAATAAAAGTGATATCATATTGGCCATCACAACTTCCGAGTTAATGCTGGCACCGGATCTTCCCATTATGGGGATAAATAGATAAAGAGCACCAATGGCCAAGTAAAACGATTGTACGTAAGGCAAGGTTAATATTCCAACCTGGTAACACAACCACTTCCAATCTACAAAAATTATAAATATGATTCATATTATTTATTACAAACAATATTCATTCACCAGCAGGAAGAATGAATTATATTCCTTGTACCAAACTGAACTTAAGTTCGCAATCAAAACTTTTGTCTTATAACTTTATAATTACCTTTCCAATTATTGAATAATCTATTGTGCAATACATTTCCAATTGCAGGAAACAATACCCAATGTAGTGGTATAAATCCAGAACGAACTTCTAGGATACTGCACAAAAGTAAAACTGACATCCATATTATACTTTGTGCATCACAGTACAGTTGATATAAAGTCCAACTCGAATGAATGTCCTGTAACAATTGTGTATGTGAAAAAAATGTAGCTTCAAAACACTCCCTAATTTCAGGACAACATATAAATATACATAGATTATACTTGTGGAAATTGATATAATATGTAATAATATTAAACTACTTTTTACCCTTGCATCAGAAATTGTTACAGTTTCTGTGAGATAGTACATCAATTATGCCTATAAAAGAATATTAATTTAGAAATAAACTTGAATTAATATAAGAATAGTTTAAAATAATTAATTTGGTTTATAAAACAGATCATCATTTTCAACTGCGAAATCTGCAAATTCTATTAGAGACATATTAACCCTCAATACCACACACCGCTCTAGTATACATACGTTGTTACAACAAGGGGCCAAATTGGGGTTTCATAATTTTGGTTAGTAAGTATAATTTTTGTTTGACGAGGTGGAAACGCTCTTGGGTGGTATATGCTGTAACGTAATTCTTTTCCTTGACCCGACACCGATAGCAAAACATACGAGAACGAACTATCTTCGAGAACCAACCTACGTTACCTTCGGCCGTCCACCCGTCGTTCGTGCATCCGCAAGCCAGGCGGGCGCCAGCCAATTCTTTTTTCACCGGGAACTGACGAGCCAGTATGAACTGGGAGTTCGGGTGGAACAGGCCCAACTCCACCAAGAACGAAAGCTCTGACGGAACCTATCAGACGAGGCGATAGCTTAACGGATCCTGCCGATTTTTGGGGACGCGTAAAATCGAGAAACGCAACCGTAGGTGTTGATCTTTGGGATCGCGTAAAATCAGCAAACGCAACTGGATACACGAACGGGAGCGGATGGTTACGGAAATGCACGGCCGCTCAGGCTGCTAGGTTTGAGGTAAAGAGGGTCGGAGTAAGAGTCCGGCAAATAGTACGAGAGACAGAGAGCGACGAACCGAGAACGTATCAGAACGAATCTTAACTATCTATCGAGATCCCTTCACCAATTTATAAATTGTGAGTCCTCGCCGGAGCTGTTGCAGCTAATCCGTGGAGGCCGAGAACTGTATCCAAAGGACACTCTGGGGAGCACTGCACTAAGGCACAGCACCAAACCTCCGTAACACTCACAGGAATTCATAGAATTGCCTGGATACCGCGAGAACAACGCGAGAACTGTACGAGTCGAGAACTTGCTATACCGTAGCGAAACACGGCAAGAAAAACTATCAACAGATAGCACGGGGGCACGAGCCAGCCCGTGACACCTCGGTCGGTGCCCCGAGACAGACTACTTTGACATTAGCCAAATCCGAGAACTAATCATTCTGATTGGTCGAGAGCCTTATAACCGATAACTCTTCTATCTCCTTCGAGTCGTCCCTTTAACTAAATCGAGAGCGTTCCTTAGCGAATCGGTACGTAATTTCTGGAGATCCTCCACGGCCGCCTCCCAGGGAATCGGGCGACAGCTGGGCACCACATCCTTAACTCGGGCAGGAGGTTCCTCTCCTGCCCTTACCCGTATCAAAATTATCTGCGCCCGCTCTAGAGCCCTCTGCCCATCTCCAGCGGGGCGCCGGTGTTTCATCCGGGCTTCTGCCGGTCCGTGGAGACGTCTCCGTCGAGTACTCTCCTCTACCGGGCAACTCGGTACGTCGAGACTATCTCCCCACGGCAGATTCGAGCACCTCGACCTCAACTAAACAATAACGAAATCTTGCGAGAGCCTTGACATAACTATACGAATCAACCCGAAAGCGTAACTTCTGAGCAGGGTGGCGACCCGAAGGGTACCAGAAATCGAGAACGTTATCTGTATCGGTAACCGGAGCCGCCTTGGGACCATGATTCGAAAAATCACGTCACAATGCATAGAATTTTCTAGTAAATATTACCCTGGAATATGTGGTAAAAATTATCCATGGGACTAGTAACACTAAGACGTAACAACAAACTAGATGGTCTTTATTGGCAGCATAGCAATTTTTAACAACACAACATAGTAAACCGCGTCGAGTGAAATTGATTTCATGCATGTGTTGATTTGGAGTTGGAGATACTGATTGTGACAAATATTGGGTTTCCCTTTATATGGGAACTTCCTTTTCTCTGTAAGCACACCAATCGATGTAGTGACTCTATTTAAATGTTAAACTCAAAAATACTTCAACTTCTTGTATTTTTCTATAATATATACAACGTTTGCAAACCGGAAATGCTGGATATTTGTAAACGGTGTTATCTCGTCTACAACAGTACAAATAAGTATACTTAATTCATTATTTTATAGGATATATACTGTGACGTATTTTTACGCGATCGACCTCACCGGAAAATGCAAGACCGACCGGCGCACAACTTTACGCGATTACTACGCGTTCCAGGCAACCCAGGGGCTAACAAATTTTTACTCTCGAAATACCTAAGGTATTGTTGGGCGTCAGGTTCCAAAACGGGAACCACGTATCAGTTTCTACAGTTCGTCTTCGCGTGCCTACGTTGGCTAACTCAGCTACGCGGAGGCGTCAGGGTTCGGAACAATAGGTCGGATGGGTCAGACGATCACGCGACACACAAAATCATTCGGACACTTCGATCTCAAATAAATGGTTCGGTTTATTAAAGAAAATCGGCGGCGCGAAGCGCGACGATTTCGTACAATAACGAATCGATGAATTATAAAAAAAAATAGTACGTTGAAGAAATCAAAAGAAGACAAAACGAAAGTACACTTAGGATATTAACGGGTACTTCGCGTACCGTACGAATTTAAGTCAAATATCGTAACACGGCTAATCCGCGTTTACCAAAATACGACAACCGACCGTCAAGGACCTGCGCGCGTTCTACGCGATACAAAATCGAAAGGTATAAATGCCTGACGGGCGGACGACACGAAAACAATTCGGATACGTAAAACAAATTCCAATTCCATAAGAAGATCTAACGACAATCCTAACAGTGAACCCTGCCGGTCGACGGACCTTCGTGCCGTGGTCTTCTTCGAGGTGAGGGGTTGTCCCTCCGCGTGTTCGTTACACGCGCAGTCAAAACTTACGAAAACAACAAAATTCGGCACCACTATTCGCACGAAGTTACGTCGCTCACAATAGTCGGTTAGACTCGCTTACCGTGGTGTTCCCTGGTCGCGTAATCCAAGAAAACCCCAAAACGTCAGCCCAATGGCACTCAGTGCACTCGCGTAACTCACAAAGAAAATCAAACGTCTATCGCCGTCGCGTGTCCAAGCAAGATTCTCTCG